AGGACGAACTACGAAAGGGACTTACCAGTGTCAGTCTTTGAAGCTGTTCGGTCCAATGGATAGCTCTTAGTGCAGTGGGTGTTCCTACGGTGCTGAAAACGTGATTGGAGAAGAAACGTAAGGATTACAGTAGAGAGAAGTTTAGGGTTTTTAGAGAGAAGTTGGAGAAGATGAAAGGGTGAGTTCAGAGGTTGAAGATGAGTTCGTGCAAGTGAGAGAGAGTTTTCGAAAAGTCTGGTTTTGTTAAACCAACGTTCAATTGGAAGAACGTGTCACAGGTTGCCACATGCACACCAAACTCTGATTTAGAAGATTCCAACGTGACAAGTGGCGTGTGTGCATGCAGAGTTTAGTGCGTTTTAATGTTTCAGAGAATGATGAGCGTGGTGATTAGTGCACGTCAGACAAAAATGTGATCAGATTAGGAAGTGGGTTTTAAATGGCTGAGAATGAGGTGGCAAGCATTAAGGGTGAGATGTCAGGATTAACTTAAGCTAATTATTAAGGGTCTCACACCTTTGATATAAACTATTAAATATAATATTTTAATTTATGTTATGACAAATATAATTATTTAAAGAATTAAATATGTTTTTATGTAACATTAGAATTCGGTCTTCATATAATTTAATTTTTAAACTTAAAAATGAATTGATATACTCATTTTATCCCAATTATATTAATTTTTAGTGGTGTTTGATTGGTGTATGAGTTGTTTTAATAGTTGTTTTAATAGTTTGACGCATAGAAAAATCTTTTAACACGTAAAAAAAAAAAGTTAAAATCATTGAATTAAAATGACTATTTTCATTACCTTTTAAGTTGGAGTATCAAAATTTATCATAATTTCTTTAAATGAGCTGGCGAATTTAAAGACGCCCACAAAGATGTAAACGATCCACAGAAATCATGATTGACCGGTCTCTGCGTTATTCTACCAAAACCACAGCACCCCCAGTTTTACACAAATCCATATTTATTTAATATGCACACCCTGAAACTTTTGTATTTTCATGCCCTGTAACATTTTTTAAATGACAAAAATACCCTTCCTTAAGTACCTATCACTACCCTTAGAAATGGTATTTTTTTCTTAACCAAAACAACAACTTCTCAATGTACAGAGTCAAATTTCCACAAAAAATTTCATAAATTTCAAAACAACTTATATGGCATTTTCGAAATTATAAGAAAAACAACGACTTATCACAATTCATACCCTTTACAAATATCTTACTCCCCTAAGCAGCACACACAGTTTCACTCAAACAACGAAACCATGCAGATACCACCCTGCAACTCCATCACCACTAAAACACTTGTTCCACGGGCTTATACAACAAGCTCATGCCACCGCCACCTCTTGCCACCGCCCAAAGCCGCCGTCTCCGCCGTCTGCACGGCGTCGCTGAAGGCTCGGAGGACCCACTCAATGCCTCCGGAGAAAATGGAGGTTTTCAAGTCGTTGGAGGGCTGGGCCTCGGAGTGGGTCCTGCCACTGCTAAAGCCCGTGGAGCAATGCTGGCAGCCTCAGAACTTGGTCCCTGACTCATCACTGCCGTTCGAAGAGTTCAGCGAGGAGGTTAAAGCCCTTCGCGAACGCACCAAGGAGCTCCCCGACGAGTACTTCGTAGTGTTGGTGGGTGACATGGTCACCGAAGACGCGCTTCCCACTTATCAGACCATGATCAACAACCTCGACGGCGTGAAAGACGACTGTGGAACCAGTCCAAGCCCGTGGGCCGTGTGGACCCGGGCCTGGACCGCAGAAGAAAACCGACACGGAGATTTGCTCAGAACTTATTTGTACCTCTCCGGTCGCGTTGACATGGCTAAGGTTGAGAAAACTGTCCATTACCTCATCGGAGCTGGGATGGTAAAAAATGTTTTTTTTAATTTCAATTCCTATTAAAAATTAGGGATCTGTTTGGCATTGCAAGGAATCAGTGAAAAATTCATTATTTTGATGGTTTTGTTTTGATGGGTAGGACCCTGGAACAGAGAACAATCCTTATTTAGGGTTTGTGTACACTTCGTTCCAAGAGCGAGCAACTTTCGTGGCGCATGGGAACACTGCTCGGCTTGCGAAGGAAGGGGGTGATCCAGTGCTTGCGCGCATATGTGGAACCATTGCTGCGGATGAGAAGCGCCATGAGAATGCATATTCAAGGATTGTGGAGAAGCTTCTAGAAGTTGATCCCAGTGGAGCGATGCTTGCAATAGGAAACATGATGGAGAAGAAGATCACAATGCCGGCACATCTTATGTACGATGGGGACGACCCTAAGCTATTCGAGCATTACTCTGCAGTGGCCCAGCGAATGGGCGTGTACACAGCCAATGATTATGCAGATATCTTGGAGTTTCTGGTTGGACGGTGGAGATTGGAGAAGCTTGAAGGTTTGACGGGGGAAGGAAAGCGGGCACAGGATTACGTGTGCGGGTTAGCGCCTAGGATTAGGAAGTTGCAAGAACGCGCTGATGAGCGAGCGCGTAAGATGAAGGCGCAGAGTGTGAAGTTCAGTTGGGTGTTCAATAGGGAACTGCTTTTGTGAAATTTCAGTTGAGAGTTGTGTGATGATTAATTAAATTAAAGAGCAGAAAGCCCTTTTGCACATGGAAGTTGTGTCTAATGGGGTTGATTAAGTGATGTTATTACAAGTTTAGGGTAGTAAGTATTAATATTATAGAGTTTTGTTGTTTTGGCTTTTGCTTATAATTAATAAGTAGGAAGGAAGTATTAGCATGGATTTGCGTGTAGTGGACACATTGTTGGATCAATGGTTGGTTGTTTTGGTGGATACAAAACTAGTAGGACTTTTGGTATGTAACGTTTGGTTTTTTACTTCTATTTATCTTATACAGGCATTCACATCCAATGGGTGGTTTTCCTAGAGTATTATTCTCTTGCATAGCTTCAATTTCATTCTTCATAGCTTTAGTCCATTGGGTGATTAACCTACTTTTTCAAAGGATTCTGGCGCAGCTGAACCGGAAAGATTGTATTTAAGACGATTAGCATATAGATTTTCACAAGATAAAACACCATTGACTAAATATATGTTTTTATCTAAACTCTGAATTTCATTTACCTATGACACATTCACGAGTTGATGATGATGATCCTCTAGAAAGAATGGAGCACGACATAGTCTAGTCCAGAGGATGGATGTAAAGTTAAGACAATGTAATTAGTGCTCTTAAAATGAGTATCCGGTTGACTACCGGGGTGATGACTTATTGAGTTAATCTAACCTGGATTATTTATTAGCAAATCGAAAAAATTCGAACCTGACCTGATCCACCACAGATTGGTTAGTTAAACAGGTTAGCTCACTGACCTACTTAATTATAAGTTTTTTTAATAAAAAAAATTACAATTTATTTATAATTCAAATTTAAATAATTTTACTCTAAGATGAGGTTAAACTTCAAAGACAATTCAAAATAAAAAAAATAACATAAAATTTAATTGTAATCCAAAAACAAACTGAAAAAACGAATAAATAAGTTTATAATATTGATAATTTTTGTGTTACTTATTCATTTATAATAGAGTCTTCAATGAATAAATTTATAATATTTTGCTCTCTTGAACTTGAAACATTTTTTTCTTTATTCTCATTTACAATATAATAAAAAAATGTTAACTAATAATATTGAAACACAAAATAATAAATAATTAAATTAAACTAAGAGAGTTGGTGAGTCAATCCAGCTCACTACGAGTTCAACCCGGGTGAGCTAGGTTCTCCGAGTTGAAAATTGGTTCGTATAAAAAACTTTCATGTTTTTCAAACCCAATTCAGCCGGGTTGGTCCGTGGATTCTAACCCATTTTGACAACACTAATATTCATTCGCTATGGTGAGATGAATTTGGTTACATGTTTTATGAAGTTGTGATGTAAAATTCATTGAAAACCAAACTATTAAACACATTAGTACATTCTCAAGGAACATGAGGTTGACTCAAGGATCATGAGATTAGGACTTAGCCCCCACGAATTTGAGTTGTGTTCTAAATAAATCGAGTTGAAAATTAGCCTATATAAAAGAATTTTATGTTTTTCAAACTTAACCCAGCTTAAATCTGTAATGACCGGGTTGGCCGCATATTCCAACCGACAACACTAATATTTATTCGTATGATGAGATGAATTTGATCATCTGTTTTATGATCTCTTTATAAACTTGCAAGAAGTTGTGATTAAAATTAATAAAAAACCAAATTATTAAACACATTTTTACATTCTCAAGGAATGTATGGTTGATTCAGATGTTAAAGTAGCAATCAATTCAAATACGTGTCTAGATCTCAAAGTAGCAATCAATTCAACTAAGTATATTGGTGCGTAATAGTATCAATAAATGTTGTATATATCTACAAAATATTGTTAAGACCATCAATATTTATTGATTTTAATTTATTAAATCCAAAAATGTGAATAATGAAAAAAGATTGTTTGACCCCTTTAACAATCATTTGACTTTAGTACGTAGTAATAAAATACTCATAAAAAAAGTAAACTTTGGTAACTGTGAAGAAAAAACTAGAGTGAAAAAACCAGAGAAAGATAAATATCAAATGGAAGTAAACAAATTTGAGTGTTAAAATATAGCGAAATTAGACATTCTGATCACTATCATTCTTTTAGACAGTGGAAAATTAATTAAACTGTAAAATAATTTTTATAAAAAATTAATTATAATAATAAATACTTATTATAATTTTATTATAAATAATTTTTTATTACATCTAAATAATTTTTTATTATGAATAATTATTCAAATTTAAAAAGTTACTTAAAAGGTGAAATTGAAAAAATATATATTAAATAAGATAATCTCTTTTATTAATGGTATAAACTATAAAAATAATTTAAAAAAAAATAAATAGTATTATAATTTTATTATAGATAATTCTTTCATTTTGTAGATAGTTTTTCTTTTGGTCACGCATAGTTATTTGAATTTAAAAGTATAATTATTTGAAAGATAAAATTAACAAAAAAATTGTCTAAAAAAGGGGAAAAAATTAATGTAGAAGTAAAATATTAATTAACAATTAAACAGCAAAATTAAAAAGAGACATAAGCAGCAACAAAGGAACAAAGGATCAAATACCGTTTCAGTCTCAACACTCAACAAAAATGACAATCATAATCCTAAAAGAGGATTTTCTATAAAAACTTTATTAACACTTGAAAATTAAGATGGAGACCTCTGTCCTCAACAGCAGAGTGATGAACTATTTCATCCATCTCAGTCTTGCATGCGAATAAGACACCTAATGGACTGTCCTTTCAGCATGTATTCAAAGGCTTTGTTGATCTCTGAGAAGGAAACTGAGTGAGTGATGAACTTATCTACTTCTAGCTCCTGCAATATCCACAAGGATCATGTCAGCAACATTATATATAAGTGAAGTTTCTCTCATATTGCTTCTGCTAAAGACCACATAAGTCACTGTGTAAGCTTACCCCGCTCAGGTACTTCTCCACAACACCAGGAAGGTCAGTGCGTGGTTTGTAGTTACCATAAAAGGTTCCTTTAAGAGTCCTCTCATTCAGGAAATTAATAGGAGCAGTTTTGAATGCATCATCTTTACTAGGCACACCAACAAGTACAGCAACACCCCAACCCTGAGAATAAGAAATCAAGATTCAGACTTAGGAAATAGCTTAATTCAGTGTTTTAGAAACAAGAGATAATGAGTTATGATTCAATTACATCATGGACACATTCAAATGCAGAAACCATGGCCTGGATGCTGCCAGTACATTCCACAGCCCGGTCCACACCTCCATTGGTCATTTCAGCAATTACCTGTTCATCAACATTCACTCCTCAGTCTCTCTTGTTCAAACAAAGGCACTATGATGTTATTTATTTATAATGTTAGAATTGAATGGTTTAACAACGATAGCATTAGAAGAACAGAATTAAGGAAAATGGTGAAACTTTTAAGAGTTTAACTAGTTAAGAAAAGGGTATTGAACTTCAGAAAATTGTTCAAGAACTAACCTGTTGAATAGGTTTATCATGATCCTTTGGATTCACAAACTCGTTAACACCAAACTTCTTAGCTGCCAACAAAAATAAAATCACAAGTCACTATCAATTAGGTTGTGCCGAATCTTTAAACATCTGATCTTTACACATCTGTAAACCTTATACCTTCTTCAAATCTATCTGAAACTAAATCAATTCCAATGATTCTTTTAGCACCGGAAATCCTAGCCCCTTCTGCAGCCTAAAATAGTGATTGAAAATCAAGAGTTGGAATTAATATTAATATTCCTTTATCACATTATCAACTGCTGAAAGAAGCACTATTAAAGGCCAAAGGAAAAACATACCGCAAGGCCAACGGCTCCAAGTCCGAAAATGGCAACAGAGGAACCAGGTTTTGGTTTTGCAACATTAACAGTAGCACCAAGACCTACGACATGGAACCAAAAATATTATATCAGAAAATATAATCACCAAGCTAGTTTGCTACATAGAAACATTATATATTTCTGTCTGAACTGTCAAGGTTGTAATCTTCCAACCTGTGCAAATTCCACAACTGAGAACACAAACTTTGTCAAGTGGAGCAGCTGGGTTGATCTTTGCAACACATCCTGCATGGAGAACTGTGTATTCACTGAATGTGGAGGTTCCCAAGAAATGGTGTATGGGTTTTCCATCCTTAGAGAACCTTGATTTACCATCATTGATCATTACACCCCTATCGGTGTTGATCCGGAGGAGCTCACACATGTTGCTTTCTTCTGATTTACAATGTACGCATTCCCCACACTCTCCTGTGAACACAGGGAGGGCATGGTCTCCTGGTTGCAAATGAGTGACACCCTCGCCAACGCTCTCAACAACACTGAATTAAACAACGGAAATCTATTAAGAAATTGCTCATTAATGATAATCCTCTCTTCTTCATTTTCTTACTCTTCAATGCAGGTGCTAGATGGACAAAAGTAAGAAAGAAAAGTTTGAAATGAATTAAATGGAAAAGTATGATCAAGATACCCTGAAGCTTCATGGCCAAAAATACGAGGAAACAATGGAGTCTGGCCCTGAAGAAACAAAAGGAAAATCAAGTTACATACTAATGCATTGATGATTCATACGCAATACATGTAAAATTGCTGATATCTGTATCTGTTAATATCCTATTCGATCAAAGCAAATCATATCAGCTGCATGATTTTAATATTTAACAGTAAAAATCACCCATTAAACATATTTATTTTCTTCTATCACTCTCCCACTATCACATCATGTATTCTATAAATCTAACAGTTTTAAGTGTTTGTTTTAGTAATCTGTATATGATCCCTCTAAAGAAAGATAATGTCTTAACATTTGCAAACCTTGGCTTCCCAAAAGTAAACATCAGTGTGGCAAAGGGAGGTGTAGAGGATCTTCAAACGGACTTCCCCGGCTTGGGGTGGCGCCACCTCTACTTCTTCGATCACCAGTGGCTTTCCTGCCTCCCATGCAATGGCAGCTGTGACAATGTAACAACAAAAAAATGCAATCAGTTGCAACAAAATACATAATGCAGCAAAAATAGAGAGAAGGAAAAGAAAAAGACTATGCTTATGAGCTTATGAGAGTAGAGTATGAAAAGGGTGACCTTTGCACTTGATCGTCTGGCCAACGGTTGAAGACATGGCTGGGACGGAGAAATGAAGAAAGATGAACGAAAAGGAAGATGAAAGATTTTGAATTGCGATGTGAAAGTGTGGGTTTGGGGAGGGTATTTATCGTGCTGAGAAAGGGAAGAAGAAAAAACACGGTGAAAAGTGAGCCACAAAACAAAACCACCTAGCTCGTGGTATTGCACGTTGTTCCTGCCGGCGCCATCTTCGAAATCGAATGGTGTTTCTCGATCTGCATGCTCTTTCTGTGTTCCGCTTTCCTCTGCAATCCCGCTAGTGGTTTCTTGCATTTCGCCACGTATCTTTGACCCATTGACCCACAAGACATAAATAGAATTTCTATTTGCTTGTTTTATACCATTATTTTATTCAAAGATAAATTAAGAGAAACATATATTATTATTTTATAATTAAAATTAGATTTTATTTAGTATTTATGAAATAGTTTTCCTTTTTTTTAAGGATCCCGCTGCTACACACTGATTTTTTATGGGTTAAATATATTTTTCGTCCCTTAAGTATCATACGATTTTGAGTTTAGTTTATACTAAAAACTTTGATGGTTTTTAGTCCTCATAGTTTTAAAACTCTTAATATTAGTCCTTAAAATTGGACGACGTTAACTTTTAGTAAATGTGACAAACGGCGAGGTCACGTCTTATGTCAGCTTGCCTCTTCACTCTCTGCCACATTGCTAGTGCCGTTCGTCTTCTCCGGCAGAGCAGAGCCTCCATCGGACCAGCCGCTCAGTCCAAGGCGTCGCTGGCGACACCAATCGCCACCCGGGACCATTGTCGGCCGCGGTGTCGATTTCTCCCTCATTGTCGTTTCTCCGCGCGCGAGAAGCTCTCTCGTTCCTCCGCCAATCGCCGCCTGAGAGAGCCCAGCCTCCGCGAGCCACAAACTTTAATCTTTAATCTGTACTTCCTTTTCTCTGTTTTCTTCAACACATATATCACGACCTAAAATTCACACATAAGGCAGCTAACAAACCCTTTATCACAAACTTTCATCTTTAATATGTACTTCCTTTTCTCTGTTTTCTTCCTTTGGTGATTACACTCATCCCCTTCTACCAACCTAAATCACCAGTACTGAACAAGGAAAATTAGTCAGCTACATAGATAATAAGTTTACTAAACAATTATGAAGAACATTGAACTACCTTAACAACATTCTCGATCTCAGTTATAAATGATGGGATCTTCTTAATCACTTGTGCGTATGACAGATTTTTGACAAATGAATCAGCAAGGTCGTTTTGCCCAATATCAATCAAGTAGAGTGCATTGCGGAAGCCTTCATCACTGATGAAATTTCTTGCACCTGTGTAAGTTTGCAGTCCAATCAGTTCATTCTTAAATACAAACTCAAATGTATATTGAATATATTTTGCCCCAATAGTTGAGTACTACTTCTTTTTAAGAGCGAAAGCCAATTCATTTAAAAAATATGCAGGCAGCCTAACAAAAGTAGTGTTAAAATCTGAACAGCGAAAGCATCATAGCACAGGGAAAATCTCAACTCCATTGAATCAGACTCCATTCTTTGAACAAGACTAATTTTGGTACATTAATAGGGGTTAGAACTCAGAAAAGAATCAAAGTACTGAGAAAAATGACAGCTTAAAGCTTCACTAGTGTTAACTGTTTAGCATGCATGATATTCAGAGGAAAACAAATATAGCAGTCAAATACTTAAAACCCCAATTAAATATTCACCCCAAAATTCAAAAGGGTAAACTAGAAAAAGACAGGGACAAAGAGAGACATACAGGGGTGTAACGGAACTTCCTCCTAGGAGGCTCATCGGTGGCGGCAGCGTCATCGTCGGTGGTTGGGGTCCACCGGCGCAGGAGGAGAAGAAAGGAAGCGTTGGAATTGGCAGGAGCGTGAGCGTTGTTGTTGTTGTTGGTGTTGGTGTTACTGGGTGAGGAAGAGGGAGTGACGTGGACCCACTTCTTCTTCCACTTCCTGACGGGGCCGGTGAAGACGGTGGTGGAACCGTAACGAAAGGAGGCGCGACTCTCTCAGGCGGCGATTGGCGGAGGAACGAGAGAACTTCTCTCTCGCGCGCGGAGAAAAGGCAAGGAGGGAGAAATCGACGTCACGGCCGGCAATGGTCCTGGTGGCGATTGGTGTCGCCGGTGACGCCTTGGACTAAGCAGAAGGTCCGGCACGGCGGCTGTTCCGTTGGAGGCTCTACTATGCCGGAGAAGACGAACGACACAAGCAACATGACAGAGAGTGAAGAGGCAAGCTGGCATAAGACGTGGCCTTGCCGTTTGCCACATCTACTAAAAGTTAACGCCGTCCAGTTTTAAGGACTAATATTAAGAATTTTAAAACTATGAGGACTAAAAACCATCAAAGTTTCAAGTAGGGACTAAACCCAAAATCGTGTGATACTTAAGGGACAAAAACATATTTAACTAATTTTTTATTATACTTCTTCCACTTAACATTTATAAATATTATTATTTTATTTCAAAACTTTCTTTTTATTTATTTTATTTATTAAATATGATATTTTATTAATAAAAAGAATAGTCAAATGACAGTAAAAGAAAAATTGAGTGTAAGAATACAATTTTTCTTTTTGCAATGTGATATTATTCGCTGTTTTGTGGGAAAGTCTCATTTTGATATCTTAAGGTTTAATTGCTTCCTTTGTCCCCAGTTTGGTTGAATTGTGTCAAATTCATCCTCATTTTTAAAAAAGTTTCATTGTCATCCTCACGTGGTGTAAAAGTGTCAATTGAATCCAAACATTGAAAAAAATTGTGTCAATGTAGTCATCTCCGTTAAATACACACTAACTGCGTTAAGTGGTTGATTATTTGGCACTAGAGAAGTAAAACGTGGCAAATGAGTCACAGTAGTGGTAATGACGTGTCATTTAGGGTATTTGTATTTGTGAACGAAAACTAATTAGGGCATTTGAGATATTTGA